ACGCGGAACGCATGCACCTTGTAGACTGAAATCACTAAGCGCTAATGCAACGAATGATCCGGCTCCAAATTATTCGGCAATAAGAAAACTTTTTTAAAACCTAATTATACTCCTTTCCCAAGTATAAAATATAAAGAAGACGTGATTCTCTATTGATTAACTAAAAGAAAGCATATTTTTATTCATGGTTTCTATAAAATATATTTGAATTTGCAAGACCATCGAAAATCGATGGGAAAAATGCATGTTACTTAAGTAGTCATTTTTTGTCGAGTACGCATTCTACAGGAGATTGAGAAAAAGTGCATTTAAAAGCCGACATCCTGCCGAGTCCGAAATATTATAGGAGTATGCCGCAAGATAGTCAATATTACAACCGTGACGAAGTAATCCTTCCTAATCGAAAACGCATTTCAGAATTTCAGCCAACATTTCATGAGATAGGTCACTCACTGTAGTATAAACGAAATCCGCACAGGTATCTTTCAGGACCGCCCAAGTTAACGCGACACGTCCCCAGTGAGAAGCCGATTATAGTGCGATTCGCATGCGGCTGGTTTCGATTGATATGTAACCGGTTCTTAAGCGGGTTTGGCTTTTCCCCACGAGACCACTAAGTGCACTCCTACGCATTCAGCCTCCAAACTCTTTGTGTTGTATGAATGTGGGATCGGTTCTGTTGCTTTTCCTAGCACAAAATCCCCTACCGGATCTCTATCGACCTAATTCTGACTCACACGAAGTCCCGTTGCTGTGCGATGATGATCATACGCGGGATTCGGTTTCAGAAGTCTTCCCACGCACTCAAGCCTCGCAAGTCCCACTCCGCTCACCGAAGCCACTTTGTGACTAAGCCTGGATGCTGTACCCTGACTAAGTGACGTGAAAGCTACCTACTGCACCACAGTTTTGAAATAACCAAAGGTTGATTTATATTGCTATTCAGAGTTTAGTCGTATTCGCCTTCGGCTGCCTAAAATGAGTAATTCACAGAAAATTGATTTGGCTTCAACATTCCATCTACATTTTGGTCTATTTATTTATAACTGCGATATTAAAACATTTTACTCGTCTCAGCGAGCCTGTGTAATCATGATCAGTCCCGTAATATGGAACAGTAGAAAATTGTTGATCCTAAGAAATCTTACTCAAATTCACTTGCTTCACGGAAGGTGAAGGAAGAGTATTATGTGTCTGAACTGTGCTCTTGGGGGTAATGACCTGTTGCACCAATCGTAACTCGTAATCCAAACCTTGGGTCTAATCCCAGTCCTCACACTCAAACTAGCATAAATTAAACGCAACTTCCAATAGCAGTGCACAGACATTTTGGTTTCAAGGTTGCCTATTCGAGAATGGCTCTTTTATCCAAGTCCCCTTGCGCTTCTCTTAACTTTATTGTCATCTTATTTTTGGCGAGCAATTGGGAGGACTTCTTAGACTGCCTCTCAATACCGACTGTATAACTGCAAAACGCTTCAAATTCAAATTATGCTAATCAAGTTACCCCTTCTGAGGCTGTACCAAACGCTCACCACAATGCAGCAATCAGGGTTTCCCGTTGTTAGGGCAGTCTTTAAACTGATTAGACTTAAGTCTGTCGTCAGATCACAGAAATGACCTTGGGGCGCACCTTTCACAACCGGCACACACGCTGGCAGACTGTTTGTGCACTTGGCGAGCTTTCTCTGGTTTGTTGGAGTCGTTCCGATCCAGGGGCCTCCTTTGACCTTGACAAATAGACACATTTTGGCTTATGCCTTGAAATCACCACCACGGCGTAGTTATTTTCACTACTGCCTGCGTCGTGCCAACCAACCGGTCTCACAGCAGCCGTTCACCAACTTTGGGGAATTCTGCGTCTTGTAACCTCAACACTGCAGCCCTTTGCAATTCACCAAGAGTAGGGCAGGCCAGCATTCGTGTTTTTGGTTGGAGGCGGATGCGTTTGATGGCACTGCAGTGCTCAGCTTCGAGGCTGGCGCGAACTGCCTCCTTGAGATGGATGAAACCGGTCAAAGATGTGATTTTTCAATTCCACTCACTTACCACTACGACTGGAAAGCGAATAAAGAAAAAAGGATTTGAAAAGTCAAGTTGGCGAACCCACGTTTTCGGTAATTCTTCCTCAGGCCAATACAATTACATGAACGAAAGAAAATGTACAAAATCAACAGTGTTTATAGATGCCTCAAGGGCTATTAAGTCACTAACACTCATAATCCCCACGCCGCCCGCATGAGAAGGTCGGCTGGTGTTAGTCGTCAGAGCTAGGGGAGGGGGGTAAGAGAGTCTTTGAGTAATGTTCTTGGGTTGAGTACACGGAGTACCCATCATCGTGATTAGGGATTTGAGGCGGCATGGCTTCATCACTTGAGGTTGGCGTTGGCTACGGCAGCGAAAGCGCTTGTGTCAGAGTTTTCTGACAGCATAACACCGGATTCACTAACCGTATCGCTACTGCCTCGGCCGTTGCTAGTATCCGTTGGCGTAGGCCTTTAGAGAAGCATATTGGTGTCCGGTTGACAACCTGAAATGCTTCCTTGGCATCGACTCGGTGGTTCGTATCGATTAAATGCGCGAGAATAGAACTCGAAATCGACCGGGTCTCACCTCTGTCTAGCCAGGCGGGCATATGTTCACGCACCCTCTTTACCATCTTTACCACTCAGGAAAATGTTATTAGCTGACCCTCAACTGCCAAAGTCTCTTTTTTATTTAACGAGTCTTCTACTAACCACAAGCCCTGCTGCTTCTTTAACGAAATTCGCAGAGCCATTAATCTCTGTGACGGCGCACAGTGCATATGCAGGGGTGGTACTGTTCATCCGGTCGGTTTACATGCAGGTAGTTCTACTTGTTGGTCATTCAGTTGTGTTCTGAAAACGTTAGCTCAAGATAAAACGCCAGTACGTGACAGAATCAGATACCCTACCTCCCCAAATGTTCTACTTGTCGAAATTACCTGGCAGACTAGCATATTATCTGCAATTACTGGCCGTTTTCGCAGAAGTATGCTGCATTTCTAGGAATGTTAGACGGGTCCGCGAGAAATGAAGTTTAGAGTTGATCCAGTTTGAAAGTTATTTGAGTTTCCTGAAACCCTTTCACGGAAGTCGATGGGTTTGTTGATTGTCTTAAAACCCTCGGCTACTTACTGATCTGCGTTTGTGTGAAGAGTATGTTAAATCCTCCCGTCCGTACCTATGATAACGGCAATAATGGTGAAACTCGATTCCCTGCACAAATACATCCCTCCCCCTGAACATCTTCTGCGTTTTTTATATACTGTAACTGCAGAGAACTCAAAATGTTCTTCCGAATCTTCCGCCGAGCTCGTTTGTTCGTGTGGCCTTCTCTACAGTTGCCGCAGCTTGGTTGATTTGAAAAGTTTCCAATGAAATTCTACAGGTCAAAAATTGGTTCTCCAAATCTCTCCGTCAAAATTCAAAGTTAAAAAGAGAAAATGTTGAATAGAGAACGGGAAATACTGTGGAGCCAGTTTGACATGTACATGGACAATCGCCTTCCCCTCACCCACACAGAAATGGCAAGACATGCCGGAGTAAGAGTGGAATAATTTTGAAGAAGGAGACACGATCGCCGGGTCTCCTTCTTCAAGATTACTTCCTGGGACTCGTCTCTTCGCTTCTATTAGTGGAATAATTTTTCCCCTACCTCGCTTGTAAAATTGATGGGTTAGTGCATATGCGGTTTCCCGTTTCTTGTCATGACGCCGGCTCCATATCACAGCAGTCGGGGAAAGTGGGCAGCAAAACGGAAGTACGAAGGCAGAGATAAAGAAGCCCGTCTATTTCGCGGTTTGTGAGAAGTTATCGTTTGGCGGAGCCCTTCCAGGCCAAACTATTTTGATTACGGTTGAATATCTACTCACCAAGTATAAGTACAATTATAACTTCACTAATGAAATCGTTCAAAAAATGTGCTAATAGTTGTAAAAGACAAATTCTAGAACACTGGGAAGGAAACTCAACCATCAGAATATGAATTTTATCCCTCTGAAGTTTCAGAATCACTCTCAAACTCGTAATCAAAGATTACGGCAGAAAGCTTTTCCCGTTCATCATAGTCACCAATACCTCTAATCCTGCTGGGTGTGTATATGCATGGTAGGTAGGTGGTAGGTGCACTTGTGCTGACTTTTTTCACTATTTGTTGAATCCGTAGGCGACGCTAGGCCTGTAACCACCTGAAAGACAGTGTACTTCAGTCGCGCACAATTAAGCCACGGAACTCGAATAAGCAGAAGCAAAAGGAAGTCAGCAGAGGCTGATGGAGCTGCAGTCAGCAAGCAGCTTTCTGGAACGGGGCCAAGTCGCTTGTGGAGGCGTAGATGCGCATCGAGACCGCGTATCAGTGCCAGACTCATCCATCAAGACTCACGCGCACGGTCGACAAGCAGTGCAGTGCTGTGAGAGCTGCAATAAGTCAGGGTACCCAGAGGATTGTGGGATACGCATTCCGTCCATGCAGCCGTGTGGCGGTTGCGCGCAGAGGGATTAGGCCAGCATGATGGCCAACCCTGCTGAAACGAGGTGAACAGTCAGCTTGCTGTCCGAAGACGGTTCAGTCGTCTCAAATGACAGCGTCCATTGCGGGCCTCACGAAGTGGGCGCAGAACCGGTTGGCAGCAAGTGAATTAATTTATAGTGAAGCAGACTGACGAGATATCTACCAACCTATTACCCCGCTCACCTACCTCTCTCTCCCATGGCAAAACAATGCCAAAACGACCGGACTTGGTCTCGAGCTCACTGGCTGACAAGGCTGAACGCGTGCCACACATAGCCCAGCCCCACCAAAACATACCTGGGTTTCAGGGGGGTGGTTCGAATCTTATACTAATGATAGTGCCACGGCGGAAATGCTGAGGGAACTTTTGCTGCCAGACCCTCAGACCTGCGGAAGACAGTGTTAACCCGTCAGTTGGCAAACTTCCAAAACACGACAATCGGCGCAATGTGGTGTATTTAAGTATCTCAGATGAGGAAAGCGCTGATTTGCCGTGTGAATGGGCATCCGAGCTGGACGCGCTGTGATAGCATCACACTCGAATTACACAAGCAGCGGAGGGGCCGCAGCGTCGCAGCTGCATATTGCAGCGTCGTCAGAAAGACTGCCTCATGCATCTTCAGTTTGGTGCTGAAATGGAAACCGTGTCGATTCCAGACTGTGTTTTGCAAGCGGTCGAAGGCTCGGTTGGCTTTGGGAATCCGGCAGGTCACTTCATTGTCGATTTTGGTATTGCAGGAGAGAGTGACGTTCAGATAAGTGAATTTGTCCGTGACTTGCAGTTGGGCGCCGTTCACGTTGATTCGGGGTGCGACGTAGGCAGTGTCGAGTGGCCGCTGATGCATAACCACCGGCTTCTCCGTGTTGATGGCCGGACCAAAGTTGTCGCAGGCGGCGGAGAAGAGGTCCATGCTCCTTTGAATGTCCCCTTCTGAAGTGGAGCTGAGAACGCAGTCGTCGGCGAATGGAAGTGCGTGGACGGAAGTTGCGGATACACGCGACTGGAAGTGCATCCGCAGTTGATTGAGGAGTTGGCCGTCTGTCCTGTAGGCGAGGCGGATCCAGGGGCGTTCCTCACGGTGGGCGTCCATTGGCATGGCAGGTAAAATATATTTCATGCATGCACGTGAATGACATCTTTGCACGTATTTAGCTAGTCTTGTGGTAAGAACTGTGGGAAATTAAAAGAAAGTCGGAGAGAGACAGAGAGATGACGATTTTGCGTAAATCCTCCGCACTGTAATCCGGCCCACGAGCACACATTGGTTGGTTCTCACTGAGTCCGCCTTACAGTAAGCGAGTACGGCGCCCTTTAAAACCACAGAATATATGCCACTTTTAAATAACAAGTTAAGGCGACTGATTCGGTTAAGATTTGCCACTCCTGTTCTCGATTGCCAGAAAGTGAAGATGAATGGACGACTTCGTTTCTTAAGACTTCAGGAAGTGTAGTCAGCTTGTCGGATGAACGTCGACTCCTCTTCTGGTCAGCGCATTTTTCAACCCCCTTACCGGTTCTCCCAATGTATTTTTCTCTGCAAAGAGCACAACCGATCCAATAACAGATGGCTGACCTGTTTTCCCTAAAGGAAGGGAAAAACGAACTTCAAGGACACCTGGCATTTTGCTTCTCCGTTGTTAGCTTTTTCGATGACACGGACAATACGTTGTGTCCAAAAAAAAATCGCGTGGCGAGTTCCGGGAAGCAGTTAAGAAGAAGGGGGTGCAGACGCACGAACAAGAATTTTAATCGCCTGACGGGACACTAGGACACATCAGCCCCGAAGTTTGGGTGTACTATCGCATGCCGAGAAAGCTTAAGAAGCCTCGCTCCATCGCCATCGAACGCGATCGCGTGTGTATGTACTCCCAACAGTTTCGGTTCCTATAGGCCCAAACAGTTCCTAGGCTCTTTCCGATAGAATTAATAAGTTGACAAGGTGGCTGCAAGATGTGTCCTCCAGTTTTTCATCCGTCCATGTGCGAGTCAACAAAAATCTCGAAGGTTCCTCATACACGCTATGAACAGAGATGGTGCCTTGCGTTTGGTGATCCGAGCTCTGCGAAATCCACCCTACAAATCTTTTTTCGCAGGTTCTCATGAAATCCCCCTCTGTTGAGTAAAAATAAAGTTTCCTCGTCGATGACTTCAACAAAGCAGAGTCGTTTACTGACCTCGTTTCTAAACACATTTCTTTTGAATCTGAACCGATTCCTCCCTTTTGTCCGTGTTCTTACCGATTTTTACATGTCATTGGGGCTTCCCATGAACTACTTCGGAAATAAATGAGCCGTTCAAATAACTCCCACTCCTCGCGAATGGGCAAGTTTTCAAATCCACTTAACGGAAGGTATTAGATGTTATTTGATTGCTTAGCCTTCTGTTCCCAGTCTTGTTGGTAAACATACTATTCCTTGAAGCGTGTAAAACATCAATTGGCCATCCAATCTTCAAGTCAGGATCATGATCCGGCGTTAATAACTATTAAGGACTGCATAAAAACTCCGCCTCTAGGGAATCTACAAAAAAATGTGATTAAACGCAGCATGAAATTTAACCCGATAGATATTCCAAAACCTGTCAGTCACCCTTTTTCAACTTCCACCACCGTCTTTAGCAAACCTCTCTAAAAGAAAATTTTCAGTGAAATCATTGATTTATGTTTGTCTACGCATTTTCTGAGCTCTACTCAGCATAGATTACTCCACCTAGGTGAAAGGTTTTGCGAAACTTTTGCATCTCACCTTTCTTAACCTTATCATTTTACTTCGTAATGGACAGAAGTCAGTGGTAGTTGATTATTGAGATCTTAGAAAGGCCTCTAACAAGGTGCCACATAGACATCCTTCAATTAATATGAAAACTCCATGCCTCGAGACACAGGTCCGGATATGGACCTCGTTAATTCATCAGGTCTTTCTCGGTAATTGTTATCAGAAGACCGTGATTGGTACTTTCTGTTTAAAATCTAACCCACTCAGGAGTGGCGTGTATTTTATAAAAACACCGCTGTTGGTTTCATTCGAAAAAAAAGTTTAGGTCTATATTCGGCGTTGAAACGGAGTATGACTTGGCGGATGGGATCTTCTCCACCCAATTTAAGTTCCATGCGTTTGGTCTCCCCAAACTTTTCAATCCCATAGCTTTTCAGTACAGCCACCTTCCAGTATGCTCTACCACTATAGGCTTAGACCAAAATCATAAGATCAAGTTAAATTTATCACCTCATGCGGATCATATTCCTGCTAAGGATACAAAACTAAGACCCCATAATGTGTCCATTCTTCCGATTGTCAAACACTGTTGTCCTTTTTGTTAGTATGTCTTTCATAGGCAACTTTTAACCTTGGCTGGGCAGTGTTTTAACATAATGAAATTGGGAAAATAGGCTATTTGGTCAGAAGATGAGGGGTTGACCTGAACTAAATATGAGCCTACCCAAGGGGACTTGAAAGATCTACTGTGCTCTTAATCGCAAGAGGTTAGAATTTGGCAGCTTTATTTATCTGTCGACTGCATTGTCTGTTAAAAGTCTCTAAAAGCCTTATGATTCAACTGGAATCGAGGTTTAGATGGTTTCCTTTTGACGAGATAACTCGATTCTCATGAGAATATTTCGTGGTATGCGAAAGTACTGAGGGGTGGGCTGCAATGGTTACTTTTTAACGTGACCGTTTTTATACTCTCAATAATGTGAGATCCCAGCTGCCCTTATAAAAACCCTATACACAGTATGGGGACTGGGTCGTGCGCTCGCGCAATCGAGCTGTCAGCCACTGTGTCCATTCGAGTCGCCATCCAGTTGTCAGGTTCGGAGAGTTGACTGATAGAAGGAAGCGGGGAGAGAGCATATGAAACATGCACTGGGGGATCCATCTGCACAGGAAAAAGTGTATTCCCCATTGTAATATATGCAGCGTGCTCGAATCAGTCAAGACGCGTTAGACTCGTGGCTTGAAAAGTTGCAAATTGACGGGATAACGTGGTTGAATAGAACAAATTGCCGATCTCCGTTGTCTTAGCGGAAGACGTTTAGGCCTTCAAAAGAAGACTAGATAAATTTATGCTTTATGGTCAGAACTTTACACGATATCAATGACTGGCATAACTGCTACGTGAATATCCGCATGTTTTGTTCATATGCTATCTGTAAATAGGGTTTTCCAAGGCTCTGCCTATATCCCTCATATATGCTGAATTATACTGAAACATGAGAGTACTTTGTGGGTGTGGGATGACTGGCTCACGGACTGAAAGTCTCGCCGATGTGGCTCTTTGGTGTAGCCTTTATGGTCCGCTCGAGCACGTGAGACCCAAGTAATTCCCCTCTAGGGGGAAAACTTGTACATTGTATGGGGATCAGATCGCTAGTAGCACGTGTAGACGGACTGTTAAGGTTCGTCAGTCACTGAGCCTGAGCTTGCCTCTGACCGACCTAACGCTGTCTTGCCTTCGGGGCCTGGTAACGTAGGGAGGAGATCACGTATGGCAGGTGCTGCGCAGATCTGCCTCACCATAAACTGATTTACGCGAGTCACTAGTGCCTTGTCCAGTCCGTGAGACACATGGTGTGCGTCGTCGTTCGCCACAGTTTAAATGTCAGCTGTTACGCCTTCACTCGAGCAGACACCAACGGTTTAAAACAATTCCGTGTCCAATTTTACCGAAATGTGTTGTCGGTGGTTTGGTGAGTTCGCTCATAGTCTGGATTCATGCAGTGAACAGAGTAGCTAAGCGATGCCATGCACAGAAGCGACAGCCAGTGTGTAATTTACATAAGTCGGGCGGTGACTGTTTAGCCCTATGATGAGTGAATCTTCTTCATTCATCCGCTGTCCCTGCGGTCTGTCATCCAGGGAAATATGAAGATCTGGTCGATTTGTTACTCTCGAGTTACAACTGAATGTTTTACATCCAGTGTTTCTTTTTTGAGAAGACTCATCCATGACGTGGTCTATGCCCTGTCATGTAAATGTCGTGATTTTCATCCCCCCTTGCTCATTTCGGTCCATGCGGAAATAAAGGAATACAGGAAATAAAGCCACAATTCTGGGTACCTTCGGCCCTAATTCTGACGGCGTGTGCGAAGGATCTGGATTAATGGTGTAGCCTCCGCAAAACTCGAGTCAGCGTGGGGAGGAAAAGACAACGTCTTTCTCAGTCGCTATCGGTTTTGCCACATGCGTCAAGAATCCAGTCAATGTGTCAGTGATTTTATTACTAATCTGACTCTGGCCATCCAGGACTGTGGGTATAAAGAGATCAAGGCAGACAACTTCGAGCACGCAATGCTCGTTCAGCAGTTGATCGTCGGTCTGCGCGATGAAAAAGATCGGGAAAATCTCTTATCAGATAAGAAGGATTTGTCATGGTAGAAAGCCTGTGATATCGCCAGTCACCAGGAGCGCGTGCGACAAAATCTTCAGCAGCTGAATCAGTCAAACGATGGGGTGATAGCATCCTTGGAATCTGAAATGGCTGTCTCCCTAGTCAACACTGCTGTGTCTTCACCTAAACAGCGACCTTCAGTTTCCTCAAAACAATTACCATTCTGCTACCGTTGTGGTCAGCATCATATCCGGTGGTCAGACTGTAGATAACAGAAGACGGTACGCCAGTTTTGCAAGAAAATCGGCCACATCGAACGAGTGTGTTTCTCCAAAAGACGAGCGAACGCTAAAACGCATGCGACCTAACCTAATCCAGCTGGGGATGGCGAGGCGATACTTCGAATGTTTTCGGTCAACGCTCCACTCCAATCGCCCTACACCATCACACTTCCGGTTGATCACCATCTCGTGAAGTTTGAAATCGAGAGTGGCTCAGCTGTTACTCTTATCAATGGGGCCTCTCTTCAGAAATTACCCTCCCTCCTTCCGGCTAGCTCAACATTCCGTAGTTATACTGGACAGAACGTAGAGGTACGAGGGGTCTTTACAGCCGAAGTCGAACATGATGGAGAACTTCATTATTTGCCGGTTCATGTGGTAAGAGGAAACCAGCAACCCAATCTCCTCGGACGGAATTGGATTAAATGTGTGCCTTCCGTTCTATCCTATGTACGTCGGATTGGTGTAAATCCGGCTTTAGATTCAA